TGTTCATTGGCTGGATGCAGAAGTTCTGGGCCCTGTGGAACACTGAAAACACCAAGAAATCTCTCTGGAACTTCTGCCACATCACACCAGTATTGTGTGTGCTGTGATCAAATACCAGCTTCAGGGTTCACCACAGGCCTAGCACGGCCACCACTCCCCACCCTCTCTGTACACTCTGCCACCTCATGCTCGGCTACAGCAATACCCCCATGTTTCTCTCCTGTTGGTGGCTCTGCTGCTTTTCAATTGCCATCTTTGCAGCCCGGAAGCCAGGAGTGGAGCTAAAGTGCAATGCTGCAGAACACGTGGCAGAGGGTCTAGCATGCCTGCTTTGTGCCAGACACCATCAGGAAAAGTGGGGAAGGGCATTAGAGAGCACAGCTGCTGCTGCCAATGCTAGCACTGGTGTCAGAGAAAGCTACAGGAAAGAAACTGATGCCCTGTCTGGATTGGAGTTTGTATGCCGCTGGGCTTCTAGAGCGAGGAAGGTCCGTGTGGCTTTCTAGATGTAATGCTCACACTGGCTGTCTTGGGTCTAGAGAAATGAGCCCAAAGCAAGCTGTGATGCAGAGCACTTCCCACGGGACAATCTCTATAAGGGAGGGAGGGGGAGTTGGAGCCCTGGTCGGTCTGTATCTTAAATCAGTGCAACAGAAGGGAGAGATCTGGATGCTGTTTCAAGGGATGCTCAAGCAATGCCTGAACACACTGGATCTGTTTCACTTCTGATTTTTCTTCAGGCTCTGGGTGAGTTGCAGCAGACACAAATTTGGCCAAGGTATTGAACTGATTGGCTGTGTCTAGACTGCATCCCTTTTCCGTAAAAGGGATGCAAATTAGACACATCGCAATTGCAAATGAAGCAGGGATTTAAATCCCCCCCACTTCATTTGCATAAAAATGGCTGCCGCTTTTTTCTGGCTCAGAGCTTTTCTGGAAAAAAGCGCCAGTCTAGACGCTTTATTTCAATTATAAGGCTTTATTTTCCAAAAGATCCGTGTCTAGACTGGCGCTTTTTTCCGGCAAAGCTCCGAGCTGGAAAAAAGCGGCAGCCATTTTTATGCAAATGAAGTGTGGGGGATTTAAATCCTCGCTTCATTTGCAATTGCGATACGTCTAATTTGCATCCCTTTTACGGAAAAGGGATGCAGTCTAGACACAGCCATTATGTTCCTAGATTCCTCTACTATGTAAAGGCAGGGGAGAGCAAGCGGCATGCAGCAATCCTTCAGCCCTAGATCTCTGGTGGTTTCAAGGTGGTATTAGATACAAGGCAAGGTTAGTGTCCTCAGCTCTGTCTCTTGTCCATGTTACAAAACAACTCAGCCCAGGTCATTCTGGCTGGTGGTCTGGCTTATGCCAAGGAATCAGAGGGTGGAGTGCTGCCCTCCGATGCAAAGGAGGTGGGGAGGAGGGAAACTTGTATGATGCCTTGCCCAGATGCCATTCATTGTACTGTTCACCTGGGATTAGTTGTGACCCTCTGGAGCCGCTCCACCTTGGTGTACAAGTGCAACACACTGACCTGTTCAAAAAGGCATTGCCAAAAGCATTGAGCTTCCGGAAGGGTTTTTTTGGATCCACCACCAGTGCATTTCCAGGAATGATCCCCTCCACATCTCCCTGCATCACGGCGATGAAGGAGTCAGTCGTTGGCTCTGGTCCAATTCTCATCCCTGGGAAATCCTGTTCCAGCAGGTACCTTTGGAGAGAAAACAGGGCATGATGATGGGTGAAATCTGAACTGCTGAGTTCCTGTCAGAGCTGCAGACTGCTACTATCAGCTCTAATAATGGGGTGCAGAGTGCAGTCCTTTCAGGCTATTTTTAGCACTGGAAGTCTGCAAATGCAATGGTAGCTTTACTTGGGATCTCAGTTGCAGTGGCCTCAGCTTAATCAGATGTAGAAACTGGGAGAATGTTCAAGGCTGTGAAGAGATTCTCCTGCTTATTGGGTAAATCAATGTGTCAGTCTGTTAGAAGTTTGGAACGGATCCATTTCTTTACCCAAGAAAAAATGCAAACTGCCCCCTTCATTACAAATAGGGTGGTTAACTCTGAAACCTAACAGCATTAACATCGCTCCTTATCATTTTAGCAGAAGCATTCAGCTGATGGGCTTCGCTCACAATTCAGAAAGGCTTTGCAGATGCTTGAATGCCACCACTATCCTCCACTCAGCTGCCAAAATCTCCTTCTTCCCTTTCCTCCCTTACAGCTTCTGCAACCCAGTTCTTTTTAACGATACAAAATTCTGTGGATCTCAGTGTTTAAAAAGATAGGGAGCAATATTAGGTGAACTGTGTAGAAGGGCAGTGAGTCAGTTTATGTACCAATTCTGTGCTACAGAACATCTCTCAATTACTGAGGTTTTTCTAACTTAGGCAGAGCTGCAATGCTGCAAAAATTAGGGCAAGTTTGTCACTGTATAAGAGGCATTGACAGGCTGCTAGTGAATACAAGGCTGCATGCACTCTTTTGGCATAGCTTGTGAGCATTGGATTGTTACAGGTGATTGAATGCTGAAAACACAGAACCGTGTCATGATATGGGGAAAATATAGAACTGTATACACTCTTCAGGTCAATACAGGAAAACAAATATGCTGCATTTTGAAATTCTCTAAAGGGAGACAGAGGGTGAGATTCTGTTCACAGCAAGTGTTTTAATAAGGGATGACAGGTTTCAGAGGGGTAGCCCTGTTAGTCTCCAGTCCATGAAAGCTTATGCTTAGTCTTTAAGGTGTCACAGAACTCCTCATTTTTAAACATGGGATGAGTTGTACAAAAGATGGTGATACTGAGCATGCCAGCCATAAGCCAGCCTTCACATGAGGGTCTATGGGTCTGTCGTTTTGGTGAATTCTCATCTTAATGCAGGTCCTTTGAGCTACAGCAAAACCACACTGACATACCAGGAATGGTGGCCTTTATGCTCGACTAGCTACAGGATCACGGCTGGAGCTGCATCTTCCATTCTCCCTGGGCAAGGAGGAACCCTACTGCAGACATGTATAAGATTTAAAAGCCAACAGAGTCCATGTGGCAAGGAAGCACACAAGAATGATGGCTATTGATCCTTTAAGGAATTAACAGTGGAGCTACAGCAGCCTTAACTATCGGTGAGCCTCAGAATTCCAGTAGGAACTGGTCTTTCCCTGCTCCTCCTGTCACAATCATTTTATCTCGTGTGCCTTTCATCCCAGTGCTTTCACAGTTTTGTACAGACTAGAAAGATTTCACCTACCTCTGAAATATTAAGAGCTGGCGGGGATGGGGAAGAGTGTGGAAACTACTTAACTGTTCACAGCAACGTTAAATAACTTAAGACTGGAAGAGCAGTAAATACAACAGCCCAATGGCTCCTAGACTAGGCTACCTAAATCCCAGCAGTTGACTACTCTAACTTCTCTATTACAATAAAACCTCAGAGTTGGGAACTGTGGTTTTTCATAATTCTGAACAAAATGTTATGAGTGCACAACTGAACACTGAGTTAATACAGCTTTGAAACTTTACTATGCAGAAGAAAAATGATTTTATTTTAAATGAAACAATCAGACACAGCTTCCTTGTCTTTTTTTTAAATGTCCCTTTTTTGTTAAGTTTACATTTAACACAGTACTGTACAATATTTGTCAGGGGTTTTTGTAGTCTGCTGCTGCCTGATTATAAACTTACAGTTCCAAATAAGGTGTGTGATTGGTCTGTTTTCAAATCTGGCATTAGTAACTGAGGGTCTTCTGTAGATGGGCCAAATCTTAAGAGATTATCTTATTCATGATTGTATGAGCCACCTCTCCTCCTAGTCTTGGTCACAGGCTCTCTGTGGCAGTTATAGCTACTTCCTACTTGCAAGTGTATGAAGAAAACGTGGATGTATGTGTGTTTTCCTATCTCTAATGGGATTTAGCAGCACTAGATGACAGCCAGCTTTCCACCACCAAGTACTGCATGGACCACTGTACAAGTGACTTAGGCCCAAAGAATTGAATCTATCGTTCTGCATTGGGAAAGGCTAGCTCACATCCTGGGAAGCCCATTTAAGTATCCCCACTAGGTGGGTGGGAAACTGCATTGATGGATTCTAGAAACTCATCAGACTTTCTGCATGGCAGGGAAGAACTCTAGCCCCTAGACCACAGGTGGGCAGAATCAGACTCAGGGGCCAGATCCAGCCCACCAAGCATTTCTCTCTGCCCCCCACCCCCAGTAGATTAGCGGAGGTGCAAGCTTATAGCTGAGAGCCTGTGTTGAGCTGCCATTCCCCCCCACTTTGCTCTATCCTGCAGCTGAGATACTCCCCAGGGTCTCCTGCTAGCTATTGAGCACTTCCCTCTCCCCTCCCTTCTGAAGTCAGGGTGTCCCCAAGCCCATGTAGGGGTCGGGGAGAGGGAGACGCACAGTGGAGCTGCTACCTCCATGCTTCAGATTGGAAGTGACTCGGAGGGCCTGTTTTAAGAGGCAGTGCCCTGTTTTTAAGATTTCAGTGCTTGTGTTCTCTCTCTCTCTCACTCACAGAGCAGGACAGCTTTCTTTGTCTTAGAGACAGTGTGTGGCGCCTGCACACAGTCTGACACACACCCAGTCTATGCCATGCTGTCAGTGCCACACACTCAGTATGAGTGACAGACTGACACACATTAGGGATGTTAGCATGTACTCAGTAACATGATTAACTGATAAGTCTGGGCTCATCTGTTAATCCTAATGGTTACATGCACCTTCCCCCTTGCTCCCTCTGTATTCTAGGCAGCAAGGGGGAGGAGGAGCAGGAGGCAGTGCCCAAGGGGAGCTGGCTTTTAAGCCACCTCCCCACACTTGCTGGCTTCCATAGAGCACTTCTCCCCACTCTCTGCACTGCTTCCCATAGAGGGAGCAGGAGTGGGTACATTTGGGAAGCTGGCTCCCTGCACATACTGGCTCCCACAGAGCCTCCTGCCCCATACACTGCTGCCTCTCTGAGCAGCAGTGGAGGGGAGGGGCAGGCAGAAGCTAGTACCCACGGGAAGCCAGCTTAAAAGCCAACTCCCTCCAAGCACCAGCTCCCACCTGCCCCCTGTGTACAAATGTGTAACCACTTAAAATATTCAGTGGTTACACACACTAATTCCCAGTTTTTAATCAGAGTAGGGATGTTAAATAGTGGTTAGTAAGCTAATTGAATAGTTAATGAAGTTTCCATCTGCTTGATTAGTTGATAAGGGGGTTTCTAAATGTAGTAAGAGCCTCTTGGCTTTAAAAAGCACAGCTGCAGCAGTCTGGGACCAGGTGTGAGCTGGGACAGCTAAGTCCCGGTTCGGGCTGGGTCCCCTGCTGCACCTCTGCCTCCCTGCCCTGTGCAGAGATGGTGCTGGAGGGAACTGGCTTTTAAGCCAGCTACCCTCAGCACTGGCTCTTGCTTTCCCCACTTGCTGCCTCTGTATCAGAGGCAGCAAGGGGAGAATTGACTAGTCGAGTAATGACTCACCTACCTGATAAGCCTGGGCTTACCACATAGTTGATTAGTTGCTTACATCTGTAACACAGGGTCTCTCTCTCTCTCTCTCTCTCTCTCTCTCTCTTTCCCCCTAGCCCCAACCATTCTAACCTTTCTGGAAGGGCTGGAGCTGGCCTGTGACTGCATACCAAAATACATGAAGTTGTCCTCCTGCAAAAATTATTGTTCACCCCTGCCCTAGACCAACAGCCTAGTCCTAATACATTTTTATTTGCTTTCCTTGGAGCTTTTGGCAGTTTTATCTGAGCCAACAAACGCAAAAGCACTCCTTTGAGTCAGGAATTCTAAAATATCTATTTGAAAATGCTATAGGAAAAATAGACATGATACTCAAAGGATATAAAGGGGAGTTAGGCTCTGTTGAAGATCTCCACCCTGACCTTTAACTTTGTAATAGTCTGATTTATACTCATTTCTGAGTTATGCCAGCAACATGATATCACACAAGTATTCTGTGAAAAGACTTAAACCCACCTCTGTGACTGTAACAAAGATGAAAGCTAAGACCTCTAAAAAAGCAGAAGCAAAAAGCAAATGCTCCTCTTCTAGCTAGCTGGAATGGATGATTTTATCACATCTCCTTTCAGCTGGTAATTCCCCCCCAAATGTTTATTTAAAAAAAAACAACCTTAACCCTTCCCCCTCCCACAAGCACTCAAACAGATACAAAAGCAGTTGGGTCACTTTGCTTTAACTTGTACATGCAACATGTGGTATGAAATGAGAATCTACTTCCTCTGTTTAAGATACCAAGCAGTGTAAATTCTCAAGTGAGAACTCTCCAGCAGCTCGGGGCACATCGTACCACAGGAGAACTCCGGAACAAAGGCTTTGCTGTGCTCTGGGAACACAAGGCAATCTATTGAAGTAGTGTGTAAGCTAGTCTGACGGACTAAAGGCACAGCTTCAGGTCAGTGCTGCAAGCCACCTGTGCTGAAAGAAACCCAGTGCACACTAGAGAGGAGAGTAACATAAATACACTGGCCCAGTGAATGCAATGGTTTGTAAAATGGGTTATGTAGGGAGGTGGTGGACTCTCCATTCCCTAGAGGTTTTTAAGTCCTGGCTTGATAAAGCCCTGGTTGGGATGGTTTAGTTGGGGTTGGTCCTGCTTTGGGCAGGGGGCTGGACTGGATGACCTGCTGAGGCTTCTTCCAGCCCTGGGATTCTATGATAAGGTGCTAGGTGACAGCAAAGTTCTCTACCCTGGGCAGCTGTCGTTCAAGCTTCTCCCCCAGGTGCTCTTCCTTAACTTTCAGCCGTATGGATCCCTGCTAGAGAGAAAAGGGAAGACAAATCTCCACTGCCTGATCAGGTCCCAACTGTCTTGAAGGGCACCAGACCGTGCCAGCTGGGAAGTGGATATTTGTCCACCAGGAACTAGTCTCACCACCACATTTAATCCAGGCCCCTGAACTCCCATGAGAGGGGAACATCTGACCATTTACCCTGGGTCAAAGCGAGGGGCTTTATCATGCTGTGACACTTCCTGGACTGGAGGCTGGGTGAGGACTGGTGGTGTCAATGTCTGGCTGGCTCCATTCTAGCCCCAAGACACTGCTGCCACCTGCTAGAAAGGACAGAAGTGCTGCTCCTCCAGCAAGGACGCTGCAATATGTGGGGGGAGGGGAGGGTGCTTTAGTGATGAGTCAGGCAGGATGCTGTGGAGAGGCAGAGATGATGTAGTGGCTGCATAAAGGGTGCAGGGAGGCAGAGAGCAGTGCCTGGAGGAGCAGTCAGCTGGGGTAGCAGAGCATGAGAATGAGTGTGTGATGAGATGCCTGCACCAAAAGCAACTTGTGACAGACAGCAGGGCTGTAGCCACTTGTTTATTTTATTAACAGGGTGTCTGGACCCAGGCCACAGTTTTTTTTTTTTTTAGCAGAGACTACAGACCACTCGCTAATTAAAATAGTCACATCCTGTCCTGCCATTCCCTCCCCAAGCAGGAAACATAAAAGGTAATAATGTTGCAGAGCCAGACTCCAATGGAATCCTGCCGTCACTGCTAAGATCAGACCGGGCTGTTAGTGGTTAAAGGAAGCGCTTTAAATGTTCCAGGTAAAGGTGCCAGCTCACTGTGTCTCTTCAGGCACATATGCCCTTCCTGCAGATCTGGAAGCTCTGCCAAGAGGCTCTTGGGAGGCGTGAGGGAGGGGAGGGCTGAAATGTACCAGCTGAAATGCAGGACAGTATGACTTTCACTTAGCAAAACAAGACTCAGTCCCCTGCGTCTCTGAAGGCAGGCAAGAGAACAGTCTGATTGCACTAACACCAAAGGGAGCATTTCAGTTTCACTTCATCGACTTCCAAACACGCAGCAAGCCTCCCTGCTGCCTGGCCGCTAGAAATAGTTCACAGCTGACCTTAATTGTCTTGTTTCCACCTCCAGACACAGTAGGAGTCTGGTCCCAAGATGCTGCCACTTAGGCTTCAAGAGACCCTAGAACAATTTCATCTGGATCAAAACTTTGGCTGTAGATGCCCCCTTCAACTTTCAGGGAGGAGGCTTGGGGTTCAAACTGATGTTCCCTTTAATCTTTTCCATACACATGCAGAATAAATGTTTATGTGCACCATGGCATGTGTGCCACCAATAGAAATACAACACCTAGCTGTGGGCACCCTGCTAATCAGCTGGGGGATATCAATCTCCTGAGTGGTTACACAAGTGCTCAATTTACAGGGAACATGGTCCAAACCCAAATGTGGTGGCATAGGTTCTCCTTGTGCTGGAAGCTCCTTAATTCAGTGCCCTGTGCCTCAACAGATACATGACTGAGTTGTATTGGTCATATTCGCACTACGTAGCAGGGCTGGCTACAAGTCCTGTGCTAGAGCATACCAAGCTCAGTGTGAAGAGAGGATGGATTCTCTGGGGCAGCCTGTCCTTTCATTGTTCCAAGAGTCCTGGTTACGAATCTGAGGAGAGAGAGTCCCCAGATTTCAGAGCCATTGCTAGCTTCATCCAACTGCTGAGGCAGAGGAGGAGTGTTTTACTTCTCCCCTGTGTTTAGCTTCTACTTATGTTCCCTTGATAATGGTGGATGCTAGTCTGGATAAAAGCATCAGATTATCTGAACTCACAGGTCTGCAAACTGTAACCTCTCCCAAGCTTCCTTGCATTTCCTGCTTCCAGCAGGTCGGAATTATGGAAGACCAGCTTCTCATATTAAATTAATGTTTCCATCTCCAGTCCCAACAGTGCATTAGTCTGCTCCCAGATCTCCCATTGCCCACCAGCACCTGCAGAGGGACAGACATACTTCAAAAGGCCCCATTCATCCATGGAAAAACAGGATGGCCTCTTCTGCACTCCCTAGGGTTCCCACGAGCGCTCATCATACCTGAGTCCACAGCAGGAGCAGGAAGTGGAGCAGGCAGATGTGGGGTAACCAGTGAGAACTGGCTGATTCAGGAGAGACAGCTCACTTGCCAAAGAAGTGCATTGATCCCAGAGGTGAGGGGATGCTGCCTCCTCATGACACTCATCCCACAGCTGTGGTGGAGTGTGCTTGCATAGTGGGCAGCTCTGCTCTCTGGCCTGGAGAGAAGAGAGGGCTTGAGTGGGAGAAGGGATCTCGGGGGTCAGTCTCATGTGGTGCGCTTAGTGATGGAAGTGGGGGGGGGGGGGGGGGGGGGATGGAACTCAGTGGTGCTGCAGAGACTAGGAAGGAACAAGGATAGACATGGGGGCTAAGACTGAGGCAAAGGGATGTGCAGGCAGCAAACTTACAGAGGAAGAATTAATGATCTCCCCAAATGTGGCGTCAGCTCTGCTCTGACCTAGGGATGAAAATGAGGAGGGATCCAAAATGAGGTCCCACCATCCCTTTCAGATCTTCCAAGTAGCCCAAAGCAGAGTTTAAGAACAAAGATTCAGGTGTTTGTTTGGGAGAGAGGAGGGCAGCCAGCCTGTTTTTGCTTTATGCAAGGCAATTCTCTCCTTGCACCCAACCCTTCTTTAAAAATGGTTTCATGAGACCAAACAAGACAGCTGCACTCTCTACTTTCTAGCACACAAGGGTTTATGCTTCACTAGCCAGCCAGGTGGCTGGCTAGGCATTGCAAATGCATTCTGTGTCTAGCTCTTGGGTACAGTATTAGATTGCAAGGAATATTGGAGCAGGAAAAACTGCCTGCATTCCACAAGGTCATTCAAGCACTGCCAGTTTTACTGGCTCTTCCATTCTCTCTCCCACCCACCCCACCTGCTCTTTCCCCGGTAAGTCATAACATGCTGGTAAAAAGCAGAGCTTCCTCCCAGGGAGACAAGCCCGACCCCATCTCTGCTTTACTGTGGTTTTATGCCGGTGTTATTCATTTTTAATGCAGTTACTCCAGCATCAAAATAGGGATGTAAATGGGTAACTGGTTACCTAGTAAGCAACACCCTTATACCAGTAACTGGTTAACCAGCACCTGGCCCAACTGGAACAGTCCCCTACCTGCAGTGAGACACGGTGCGCTGGTTAACCAGTTAAACATATAGTTTAACCAGTTCACATTGTAAATGGGATTTTACATCCTTACAACAAATAATCGATACTCAGTGATGAACTGGGCCCAAGATATTCGTCTTGTGAATCCAAAGAGGAAATGGAGAAGGTATAGCTCAAGTATGATCCAAGGAGAGGGAGCTGACCTGGGATTAGTATTGTTGCTGAGGTCTATGGGGGTGTGGCTACATAGCACACTTATCTCAAAATAAGCTACACAATTTGAGCTTTGCAAAGCTATGCAAATAGCTTATTTCAAAATTTGGTGCTATTCCGAAATGTCCCTTATCCCTTGTGCAATGACGTTTACAGGGATGTCAGAATAATGAGCCTGTTATATTTCGATATAACAGGCTTGCTCTTAAGATGCGGAATAGCTATATCGGGATATGGCTCTACTGTGTAGACGAAGCATAAGTGAACTGACCTGTAATCAAGGCCAGCTCATAATAGGACTGTGCATTTGTTTATCCCTCTCTGCTGCTCCACCAGAACTGCTTATTAGCTATTAGCCTTCCACTGAAATCACTTCTCCTGTAGGACATACCTAACACCTGCAGCAGCACAGAACATACAGAGGTACTAGATGGTGCTGAAACAGGTAGGATGAGCTGCTTTTAGATCCTTGAAGTTTGACAGTTCTGTTTCACACCCAACCCCTCAACCTCCCATCCCCCTTCATAGGGGAACCTCAGAGCACTGTACAAAGAAAGAAAAATAAACTGAAAAATATAAATCCCAAAGAACCCACAGTAAATTTTACCCAGGACATGCATTTGGGAAATCAACAAATTCCTTTAGAGACACATCCAGGGGACACGCTGTTCAACTCCCTTCTAAAAGCCATGGGGATACACAGGACAGTAAGTGTTATGGGTCATGGTGATGTATACACTTCTGCGCTTCAGCAGTTGCATCATTTGGCATAACTACTAACAAATGGGTCAGCATGACTTATTTCTTGCTGGTGATGCCCTAACTCTCCAGCAATCTTGCTTTGGGCCATTTGCTCCTGATCTGAGTTCATATTCTAACATGGCAGAAATTACTTTTCTCTCATTTTTAAGAAACAGCAGTGATAATTTCCTAAGCAGCAGCCTTTTTGCAAGTCATCAGTGCCTGGCACCCCAGGAGATTTGGAGAGAAGAGACAGGGCTGCCCTCACACTCAAAAACACTTGAGCAAAAGAATACTGTAGGCCAAAACCTGTCCTGGGAGATACAAGTACACCCTGCACTGGCTGATGGGAATTGTATGTGCATATCAGAGGACTAAATTGGCTTCTTCCACCACAGCAGAACTTGCCACACCTCAAGAAAATAGGCCAACTTATTACCTGATGAAGGTGGTCTTCCCAGTGGAATACTGCCCCACCAGTAGCACCATTGGCTTGTTATCAAAGTCCGCATCTTCCAGGGCTGGCGAATGAAACTCGTGGAATTTGTAGTATTCTTCCAAAGGGAGCAGCTTGGTTTTGTAGAGCTTCTTGAGCCCCTCGCTCACAGTCTGAAACACTTCGGGGTCCTTCCTCCTCCTGTCATCGGTACCCAGCCAGCTGAACATGTTGGAATGGTGGGAGAGGTGCCTGCCTTTCAGTGAAGCTTGGTCTTCACGACACAGAGCAGAAGAGGTACGTGGCTCAGCCAGAGACAGCAAATTCCTGAATTTAGTCACCCTGCAGTTGTGACTATGGAGCAGAAATGTGCTGCTTTATCCCCGGGGGTTGCTGGTTACCCTCTAGGAAGGCGCATTCTCTCTCATGCAGAGCAAGAAGCTTGGGGAGGGGGCAAGGAGATACCCTCAGTGGCTGCAGAGCAACGTCCTTTATCTTGCATCAGCGGAAGACGAGACGATCCTCTCCCTGATTTCCTCCGGGATCGCTCGTCACCCCCACAGCTTTGATCAGTAATTTTTTTTTTTTTGACTCTGCAACAGGCAAGTCTGCACAAAAACTCGTCTCGAATTGCAATGATGAGGCAAAGGGGAAACGCCTCTGCCCAGCCCGCCGGGTTGCGAGGCGATTGCGATGCTCAACTTCATTCACTTCTCCTCTCGGGTCCGAGAGGCGGGGCTGGCGCGCTGCTCGGCTCCCGGCCGGGCATGCTGCTCTCCGGCGCTGGGGAGGAGGTGCGGGGTCTCAGCGGCAGCCTCCCCCGGGGCCGCAGCTGGCGTTTAAATGCCGTTCAGCCCTTCAGGAAATCGACAGCAGCGGAAGTCATCAGCGCCTGGCAAGGTCCGGCCGTTCTGACAGGCAGGGTGAGGCTGAGCTGGGGAGCACCATGTTGGGAGGAGGAGCTGCCGCTGCTGCTCGGGATTTGCTGCAGCGCCTGGGAAAGCTGCAGTCGAGGACAGTCATCTCTGGGGCGGGAGGGTCAGGGCACAGCGCCATCTAGAGGGAGACGTAGGATACGCGGATTACACAGACAGACAGACAGACACACGGTTGATTGATTCACACACACTTTGTTTTTCATTTTGGATTTGGGTACCTTGGCATAGCTGCACTGACTGCAATGGTCATATGTAGGGTTGCCAGATGGTTTCAACAAAAATACCAGAGACACTTGACATTGCATCACAATCTACATTACATTTTTATGTAGAAAATTCCGGACATCTATATTTTCTCAATTTGTTTCCCCAAACAGAAAGCTCAAATACTGGACTGTCCAAAAACTGTACACCTGACAACCCCTAGTCATATGATGAGATATGCCAGGTTAGAGCCTGGACCCTACTGTATGATTCTGAGAGTGCTTTTCAGCCCAAAGAAGCTAGATTAGCAGAGCTCTTTAACTATATATCTACTTTCAAAAAAACCCTTAAAATAACAAATGGTCCTGTTGCATAGTGGTTCCCAACCTTCTTCATACCAGCACTGGCAAACCCATTCACAACCAACTCTTGGTGGTACTCTTTTTCTAGCTGGTTCCTGAAATTATTTTGTAAGAGGCTATCCTTTTATACTTTAAAAGGGCTATCCTCTTACAAAGTAATTTTGGAAACCAGCTAGAGAGAGAGAGAGAGAGAGAGAGAGTCTGAGGAACTGGTCTTCGTATGAAAATCTGACACATTTGACCAAGGAATGAACAAAGACATCTCTTGGATAGGCCATTACAGGCAGTCCCCTGGGTTACGTACAAGATAGGGACTGTAGGTTTGTTCTTAAGTTGAATTTGTATGTAAGTTGGAACTGGTACATATTGTAGGGGAAACTCTAGCCAAACATTTCTCCAGAGCTCAGTTTTATTCTCCCACACCTCACTTCCCTCAGTCCTTTATTCTCAAGCTGAGGTGTCTCTGAGAAAAGCCGCTTTGTGTCTCCCTCATCTGCTGGGGAGGAGGGCGCTAGCTTCGCGTCTTCCTGGTCTGCTGGGGGGAAGCAGCTAGTGCGGGGTTGCCGCACCTCGTTTGTAAGTAGGGATCCGATGTAAGTCGGATCCATGTAACCCGGGGACTACCTGTATATTCAAAACCCAAATGACATCAGAAGCTAAATATTGGGCACTTACAGCCCACTCCATTAGTCTCATTTAGCACAGACACTTTAATTGACGGTTTTTTCCCTCTGCTCCTCTCCCCTCTTTTTCTACTTTATATTTGTACCCCCGAATCTCTTGCTCCATATTTTTCATCTGAAGAAGTGGGTTGTGCCCATGAAAGCTCATGGTCTATCTATATTTTTTGGTTAGTTTCTAAGATGCTACAGGACCATTTGTTATTTTTTAAGGTTTTTTAAAGTGATAGACTAACATGGCTACCCCTCTGAGACTTTTATATATCTCCTATATATTTGAAGGAGTTTGTGTGTCTGTCTGTCCTTCCATCTGTGAGTGTTTGTTCAAGAACTCCTAAATGGTAAGAGCTAGGACCACCAAGTGGTGTGCAGCTTCCTCTCATCATAACTTAAAGCAAAGTCAGAGTTTGGTTGTGTCAGGAAAATGGGATGTGCATAGAATGTGATTGTTTCTCATCAAACGGAAATGCAGGGCTGTGATAGCCAAGACCGTTATACTCCAGAATGACCACAGGGGGCAGCAAGTGAGGGAACAGTGCAGTTTGCTGCATTCCTCACTCTGGCTGGGGAGTGCAGATGGCAGATGAACCTGGACTTAGCTGGGAACATGCACCCTTCCCCACCACTGTTCCTTCGAGAGCTGCAGTGACTGTGGAGAGGCACATCTCAACCGGTCCTCAAGCTGCTGCTGTGAGAGAGGGCTGGGGTAATCCTCTCTCCCTGGGGCAGTCTGCATACTGAACCCCTCATCCCCAGGCCCACCCCACAGCAATGATTTCAATGAAGCATGTACTTTTTCATTTTATTTTCCAAAAAACAAAAATTGAGTTAAGGATCTGAGCAATGCCAGGTAAATCTTCTAGTATATCTATGAGAGAGGGAGAGAGAGGATATGTTGTGATCTGTCATTCTGCCCCCAAAATGTACCTCAGTCCTCACCTGAACTCTGGGGCGGAGAAGGTAGTGCAGTCTCTGTTGCCTCTTTAGGCTCTGATGTCTTTGTGAAAAGTGCCCGCAAGGGAGCTTGTATTGTGGTGGGTTTCATTTTTATGTCAGCAATCACTACACCTGCCAGCTGAGTAGTATAGTTCATTGGCATTTTAGCCATGTTATCAAACCTATTGTTTTTCTTTAGTTATGTGTAACATTACTAGGCATAGAACAGCGCGGTTAAAATATGAACTATATTAATCCACCCCGTCTGCCATATATGTGGCTGGCATTGGTAGAAGAAAATCATGGCAAATATTTTCAAACTACATGCCTAGAGGTTGGTACCTAGCTCCACATTTAGCCTCTGACTGATTTCCAGTGATGTCAAACAACCTTTCTCTGGCTGAAGTGTCTTCGAAGCATTACATGCCCTGTGGCCCCTCCTGAAAAGTGGGCACCTTTTATTTAGATACCTAAATTAAGAATGAGGTGTCCCACTTTGACTATTTTAATCTACACTCTTACAGTAATAACTAAATATTATTAAATAGGACATTTATAGCTGGTTGGCCCATAATCTGAGCAACTTTTTCCCTTTCAATGTTTTTAATGCAAAACAACCTTTAATAAAACCACTGTACCAGCAGTCCACAGATGGCAAAAAAATCTGTATATGCCTGTGCTATGACCACACTTCACCAAACCAGTGTACATGTATGACAGAGAGGAAATAACTTTTGGTTACAAAACATTTTGATTTCACAGAGTGAAATTCCTGCCAATTTCCTGAAGTTGACTGGAGTTTTGCCATTGCTTCAATAGAAGCAGAGGTTCATGGGTTTGTCAGATGGATTCCCAGAAATACTGAACACGCGTGCTAAAAATTTGTCAAGCAAAAATACCCCAACAAAAACCATAAATACATAAATACCGAACAAACGTGCTAAAAATTTGTTGAGCAAAACAAACAAACAAACAAACAAACAAACAAACAAACAAACAAACAAACAAACAAACAAACAAACAAACAAACAAACAAACAAACACCACCACAACTATGCTTAACACTGAATGGGGACTTTATTATAAACATTCAACAGTTTACATCATATATTCTGACTCCCTGAACCTCCCAGCATGCAACCAGCTGAAGGCTCCCACCTGGCAATCCTATTGCCAGGCTGAGCTAGCCTCTCAGAGCCTTTTTTCAGCTGTGGAGGGGAATAAAGGGGGATTCAAGCCTGTCCCATATTCTGGCCATGAGAAGAAGTGGATTATATGCCTGAAAATCTGTGACCAGAAAGTGGAAGGAGCCGTACTCTACCCCCACTCCTGGGCCAGAATGTCTGGCTGGGCTCTGAGCAGAGGGCAGACTGTCTGATGAAAAGGGGTGAAGTAATTTACACTTCCCAAAGAGGACGGGGCTAATTCCCTACTCCCACTGGGAGCCCTCAGCTGGTTGCGTGCGGAAGCCTGGCAGAGGCACAGGGAGTGGCTGGGGAGGCAGGGCCGCGATCGGTGCTAGGAGCTCCACGTCTCCGGCCACACGTCTCTAGCCACCACACCCACCTCACCAGGCTTCTGCATGCAACCAGCTGAGCTGAGGGCTCCCAGCGCCAATCACAGCCCTGCCTCCCCGGCCACTCCCCACACCCATGCCAGGTTTCCGTCAGGCGCCCAGCCAGAAAAGCAGAAAATACCGGACATTGCACATGTCTGGTATTTTCTGGATTTTTTTACTGGACAGAGGGGGCAAAAAATGGACTGTCCGGTTGAATACTGGATACCTAGCAACCTTCGAGGTTCAACATCTCCAGTTTTGGCCCTGTCTGGAATTGGGCACAAGCTGCTCCTGGTTTCATTTATATTAGTGATAGAGTTCCCATTGACATTAGTGGCAAGAGGGGTGGACTCGAAAGTGCAGATCTAGCAAAGATGACAGGCAAAGGAAAACTTTCAAACTTTTCAGACTTTTACTGAAAAGATTCAGTTTGAATTTTGGCAAACAATTTGTGTTTGTTTCTTCTTTAGGCAAACCTATGTTGCCATTACCATGACATCTGTATGCAGGCTGAGAGCTTATGTGAGCTTAAATCCTATCCTTTTTATACTAGCCAATTAGCCCATCATAAGACGGGATTTTCAGGTCTCTCCTCCACATCGGTCTTCTCTCCTGAGCCTCCAGTCTCTCTCTCTCCTCCTACTGCCTCCCACTCTCTCTCTCTCTCTCTCTCTCTCTCTCACTCTCTCAGCTCTCCTCTGCCTCCTGCTTCTCTCTCTGTCTCTCTCTTTCTCTTCTTCTCCCCCTCCTGCCTCTTACTCGGGGGTCTGTGGAGCCCAAACGGCCGTTTGGGCTCCACACTCCCTGTGCTGCCCGCTTGCACAGCTTGCTTCCGCATGGCAGCCTGGCTGAGCAGTGCAGAAGTCAGCCGAGTGCCACGGTAAGAGGCGAAGGGGGGCGGGGTGGTGATGTGCACGCCCACGGGGTGGGGCCTGGATGAGCGTGCATCCCTGATAGACAGAGGAGAACGGAGAGAGAGTGAAGCAGGAGGGGGAGAAGAGAAAGAAACGGAGAGAGACAGAAGGCGGAGGAGAGGTGAGAGACAGGGGGAGGCAGCAGGAGGGGAGAGAGAGAGAGAAAAAGACGGAGCGAGAGACCGGAGGCTCAGGAAAGAAGACCAGCATGGAGGAGAGACCTGAAATCATGGGCTGCCCAGAGGGCAGACACTGGGCTACTATATATATGATTTGCCACGTTCTCTTTTACAACACACTTCCGTAACAAATAATTATTGTCAACAATTCCATTTAATTTTAATGAACAGTAACTATAATGGCAGAATCTGTCCCATGCTGGTTGAAGCCTGCTATATTGCATAAGGTATTAAGCACCACAACATATTATGTATGTTCAGCTCTGC